ATTTGTGCATAAAATGTGCAAAATGTGCATTTGTGCATCAGGCGACACACGTGCATTCATTCACGTCTCTTCTGAGTCGAATTCATTTGATTCATTTGAATTTTGAGACTTTCATTCTGCCCTTTTAGCCTTGCCCAATCCACACACACAGCTCGCGATCCACGCGCAGCTGAGCCTAAGAAAATCAGCAACCACTAGATGGCACTAGCCTCAGTCACATGTGCACATTCCATTGAGTATGGTTTCATGAATGTTACATTGTGTTTTCTTTGTTTCTTTTTGGTTTGGCTATTCTCCTCTACCGTAGAAATATAATAAAGTTGTTTTATTGAACTTGTTCTAACTTAACTTGTCTTAAGATACAGAATAGCTTATATTAATTTTGCCAAACAAGAACTTCATGACGGTACCTTGTTTTTCTTTCTGTAATTCAACAGCATGTTGTCAGTTATTCCTTCCTTGTAGGCTATTATTATTATCATTATTATTATTATTATTAAAAGGGATATTATAGTCGCACATTTAAGCCATTAGTAATCGCACGTTTATATTTAATTAAACTATTAAATTAACTTAAACTAAACTATACTAAACGAGCGTTTTATAGGCTATAGCCTATTCTGCGCTCAAGCGGATCGCATAAATAGCTAGAACATATTTTTCTTAGGCGACTTATTACTAAACTGTTTTCTGAGTCAGTGTCTGCAAAGATGAAGTTGCCGGTGCTGATGAACGACTTTATTCTCGAAATTTAATTATTTGTATCCTCTATTTTACATCTAAATTTTTCTGGATATTTAATGAGTTTAATCTCACATTATAGGCTAATGACTTTATTCTGGAGATGTTCTTTTTTTAATTGTTTGGCCCTATAATCCTCTTTCTTACTCTCTCATTTGGCACGAATCTAAATGTTTCCATATTCACAATGTTGGCTATTTGAATGCAACAGACTATTATTTATTAGGCCTACACAGTAAATTCCAGAGTGTTAAATTAACACTGCTTGCTTGAGACAAGCTTGCCCGCAGTTGGAATCAGCTTCCAGAAGAGATCAGATGTGCTAAAACATTAGTCACATTTAAATGTAGACTCAAAACTCATCTGTTTAGCTGTGCATTTACTGAATGAACACTGTGCTACATCCGAACTGATTGCACTGTATTTTATCATTTTCTATTCATAACTGTTTTAAATTAATTTTAAACCTCTTAAATCAATTTTTAAATCATTTTCAAGGTTTTAAATTCCTTGTTTTATTGTTGTGATTATTAAAAAAAATAAAAATAAAATTTCTCTTATGTAAAGCACTTTGAATTACCATTGTGTATGAAATGTGCTATATAAATAAACTTGCCTTGCCTAAATGAATTTCGTTTGGCTTTTGCTTTAGGGTCAGTGTGGACCACATGAATAAATGCAATATTTTTCCTGGGCTGCAGCTCTTGACTGAATCAGTATATTGTGTACTCAGATTCAGTCAGTAGTGAGGATCCTGGCTCACTACACATTGGGCTCTTATCACATTATAGACCTTCACGTCTGCTGCGATGTCATAATACCTAGAACAGAGATCACAATCTCAATTCCTGGAGGGCCGCAGCTCTGCAGAGTCTCCAAATCACTCCTGCTTGGACGTTTCTAGTAATCCTGAAGACCTTGATTAGCTGGATCAGGTGTGTTTGATTAAGGTTGGAGCTAAACTGTGCAGAGCTGTGGCTCTCCAGGAACTGAGTTTGACGGCCTCCTAGACGACCACCGGGACAAGACCACAGGAGCCAGATGAGTCCTCTGCACAATGTGACTTTGCTGCAGCCTGGAATTTAACTGCTGGTTTTGTCTGGCCAGAGGAGAACTGGCCCCCCGACTGAGCCTGGTTTCTCCCAAGGTTTTTTCTCCATTCTGTCACCGATGGAGTTTTGGTTCCTTGCTGCTGTCGCCTCTGGCTTGCTTAGTTGGGGACACTTCTTTTCCAGCGATATCGTCGACTTGATCGCACAGATACTATTTAAACTGAACTGAGCTGGTTGATGACATCACTGAATTCATGATGAACTGCCTTTAACTGGGAAGAGATCAGACCTGGATGATGACTTTAGCTGTTATTTTCCTGTTTGACTCTGTAAAGCTGCTTTGACAGTCAGTATTGTATAAAGCGCTATATAAATAAAGGTGACTTGATTTGAATAAAGGTGAGTATTCACACAATGGCAGTAAATTATGCATAATTTATTGTTTTGCCCTAATCTTTGTTTTCTCTTGTAAATTGTCCTTTCTAGAAACCATACTGTGTCATAGCATTCAGCTTGAACTATATTTACAACTGTCATGTAAATAAATCTGCAAACCAATAATTGAAAGAAATAATTACTCAAGTGACTAAACACTGGTGATGTAGAGCTGTGAAACTTCAGTAACTGTTGATTCCTGACTAAAATATTTCAGACCTGGAAGACTTTGTAATGTCATTGCAGTTTTAATGATTATGTTTGTTCATGTAATTCAGAAATTCAGAAACGTTTGTCACCAAACCCCTTAAAATAAAATATTTACTTGAAATATCTCTGAGGAAGTTATTCTAATAATTTAACAATTGGCATGTTTACAGTTATTTGATGTTGATTAATAATCACATTGACATGCAGGTAAACAAATACAATATTTTCATTTTTAGTGCTCAAGCACTCAAATTATTTTTATTTTTTATTTATTTTTTATGATTCAATTAATTATTAGCCTTTTATCAACTCACAAACCCACTGCAGGTCTTACATTAAGCCCAGTTTGGGAAACCCTGGTGTAATGTAATGTTTAATGCATTTAGTGATGTAGATATCAATAAATGGCTTTTTTATATCAATGTTACATTTAATGAAAAGTTTAAAACAATTTGGATAAAAAGTAATCTAAAAGTATTTTAAAAAGTAGTCAGACAACACTACCTAAAATGTGTAACCTAGATTATGTTACTAACTGACAGGACAAATGTGCTGGATTCTCCTGCTGGAATCACATCTGACTCTATTTGCAGCGTTTGCTTTGAATTTGAATGAAACTGATATTGAAACTTAATTTTCTATGGTATTTTGTGGTTTCTACAGCAGCTCAAAAATTTGTTTCTGAACTTCTACACACAAATAGTTAATTAAATGTTTTCAAGTTCCATATTTCTGCAAATATCTTCCATTTAATCTCACTCTTTCAGAAAACTAAAGCCTCTGTTTAGTTTTATTATAGTTTGGTTTTATAACCATGAGACCTATTTTACTCTATTATTCATTTTCTCACACACTTTCAATTTCTAATGCTAAATATTTGTAAATGTATCATCTAGAATGAAGGTCATACTGTTATAGAGCTGGAAATATAAAGACGATGATGAAAGAGACGAGCACATGAAGCAGACGTGAAGAAACACAGCAGACGAGTTTGTTCGTTTGGTCTCTATAAACTTTAATTGAAGGCAGAGTTGAATGAAGCAGGTAATAACTGACAGGTTAGTCTAGTTAGAGTCTGACCTGTTGTTGAACTGAACCAGCGAGTATGACGATCAGTCCATTCAATCCCATCATGCAGCAGGCCTCTGAATAACTGCAGGCCGCTAAAGCTCAAGGCATCCATGCATTTGGCAAAACTCTCTCACGCAGACGAACATCAGGAGCAAAAGCACTTAGTGGTGGTTTAAATGAGGAGAAACTTCAGCTTGACACATCAGATCACATCAATTCACTGCTCCACTTCATTACAAACAATCTGATCATGAGGGAGTTTCTCAAAGACGAGTAAAACCATCAAATCCTGATCAATAAAACAAAATCTACAGATCATCAGATGAATGGCAGAGCATATGATCTGTTTATAAAGGAGCATGTGACATACAGATGCATGAGTTAACAGACTATAAATCATATATTTGAGCAAACACTCCAATATGAAACTCACAGAAATGGATGAAACCGTGTGAATATCATCATTTAAAGTTAGCGACTGCAACAAACATTATTATAAAAATAAAAACGTTAAATGACATTCATCACAAATCACCTGCCAATGACACACAGAGCTGAATGATACAGTCAAAACAAAAGCAGTTTTGTGCTCAAGAATCATTTATGTGGTTATTAACGAATGTAATTAATGTTAATGAAACTTTCACCATGTAACTGAATCTGATGCATTAATAACTCAATGAATCTGTGTTCACCAGTGCTGGCTAGATTACTTACAAACTAGTCGGTTACTAATTACAAAATTGTAGCATTCATGTAATCTAGATTACACATTTCAGGTGATGTATTTGGACTACTTTTGCGTTACTTTTGACATTTTTTACAGCTTTAAATGGGAAAAATAAATAAAATATATGATGATTAACCGACATCAAAGTACATGCAAATATGTTAAATTATTTGAAATAAACTATAAATCTCAGGGGGACTTCAAGTAAATATGCAGATGGGTTAAACACTAATAAACATGAAAAAGCAATGACATGGACAAAGTCTTCCAGGTTTGAAATATTTATGTCAGTTATATATCGGCAGTGTTTAGTAACTTGCGTAATTATTCATAGTGTGAATAATCTGTAATCATGTAATCTATAAAAAAGTAACTGTAATCTGATTACGAACATTTTAATATGTAATATCATCTAACTACAAGTACTAAATGTTTGGAATCCGATTACGTAATCCAGATTACATGTAATCAGTTACTCCCCGGCACTGGTGTTCACTTGGACGTGTTCAGTGTGAAATCACATTAAACCGCACTAAAACACAAATGCATTCGCAGTATTTGTACGTCTACATCAGCTGATCATATTTCATAACATTTCTGAGACTGAAGCTCATAAACGAACACAAACCCAAACACAAACGTCCGTTTTCATTCAGCCACTGATGTTCCTCACATAAACCCAATACAGATATTAAAATTATATCCTAATTTAAAAACAAAAATATATCACAGATATGATAATATAAAAAACAGATGCAGTGTTGAATACACGAATGTCTTATAAATTATTGCATATATAATAATCCTCTAAAAGTGAATGGAGTTGAATGTGAATTGTTGGTTTGCTTTGACTGTATCCGTCCACAGAAATAAGAGAAAGCCACTGATCTGACAATGACATAAAGACAAACGTGAGACGCTGATCTGTCACCAAAAGACACAGGAAGTCTCACGACAACACTTCCTGTTTCCGCTTCGTTTGGACCAATCAGCGCTCAGTAAGAGATCAGAGTGTGAGATGTTGTAAGGCATATTGAACTGTTCAGACATGAAACACACGCTCTGCCCTGAATCTCCAGTCTTTTGTTCTCCAGAGCCACGCGTGGACTCTGAATATTGGTGGGTTTCATCCTGCAAGAGTTCAGCTTCATTGAATCAGGATGAAACTACATTCAGAGAATCAAACTCAACAGAACCGTGAGGAGAAGCGAGAAGAAGCCGAGAGACGGAGACGCCAGAACGGCCGCACCTGCAAAAACATCACAAAACGCTCTGATTTTACTCACTGACACACAGTGGCTTTAGCAATATATTTTGGCTTGATTAGTTTGGATCTGAAAGACACGTAACTTTCAGTCATTTATCGATATGACCGCACTGACTAACGCCATCGGTTGAGAACAAAACTTGAACTGATTTAACCTGGATGATGCACTATTGTCTTTGTATAAAGCACTATAAAGGTGACTTGACTTTTGTGTGTTTTTGTCATTACTCTGAATCAAAAGAGCCCAAACTTGAGTGTTTTGGCCAAACTGTGCAGAAGTTATAGGTCAAAATGTCAATTATTCATATCTCTTGACCAGTAGGTGGCGCTGTGCTGAAACTGCTCATGAATCCTCAGGTCTTGGTTATTATAGCACGTACCAAATTTGGTCTGACTACGATACAGTGTTGCGGAGATATAGCCTCATGTCCATTTCAGTGTCCTCTTTGCCAAATTTGTTGTTGCGCTATAAGAGAAGGACTGGGTCTGTCAAAAATCTTTTAAAAACTAATTTCCAACACGGTCTGAAGATGATCTGAACCAGCTTTGGTGAAATTCAGATGAACTGTCTAAGATGAGTTAGAAAAAGTGGAGTTTCTAACCCTCAGGCTTAAGAAGTTATTAGCATAAACATGAGTGCAAATTTGAGATATTGGTGGCGCTAAAGGTTTTGAGTTAGAGACTCCAAATTTTCTGTGGTTAATGTTGATACTGTCCACTATCTGTGTGCCAGACTTCATAACTTTCCTGCAAGGGGTTTTATGGGCTCCCACAGACTCCCAGTGAGAAATTAAGAAAATTAATGATTACATAAGGAGCTTGACCGCTAAATAGCACAAAAAAAAAAAAAACTGCTTTTGAGTTTCCTTTACTTTCTTACTTTGCATAAAAAGCATCTGCAAAATGAATAACCAGAAATTTGTCTAGTAGACTATTGTGTTTGAAAGTCTGTTTTAATTTCTATTCTAAATTTAGCTTTATTTTATACATTTTGTTTATATATTGTATTGTCATGTCATTGTTTATATGTTATTTGTGTATTATTGCCAAGAAAAATACTAAAAAGACAATAACAGCTAATCTAAATGTAAATATGATCATATTCATGTTTCTAAATTTGAGTCACAATACTTTGAATAATCAAACATCTACTTTTTTGCTATCTGTACTATTTATTATCGTGTGGTTACTTGTATTCCATGTTGTACCAGGATTATGTTCATTCAGAACAGAACTGAGTGAAAACCCCAAAATCATCTGAAGGCATGTGATCATCTGTGTGTGTTCCTGTCTGAATGATGGCTCCATCTACTGGTCATTCATGAGTACATCAAAACAGTGGATCTCATCATCATTTGCTTCATGTGAGCGCATTTGCACTGATTTTATGTATATCCTGAATGCAATGGATAAAAGCATCTGCATAAATACATATATAAATATCATGACAAACTGCTTCTGAATTTCCTCATTTGTAAGTCACTGTGCATAAAGGCATCTGCAAAAAGATTAGCTGTAAATTTGTCAAGAAGGATTTAGTTGATTTCCAAATGTTGTTTTATTGTCTTTTCATTGTTTATATGTCATTTGTGAATAATTGTGGATGATGAGTTCAAGAAAAATACTAAATGGACAGTAACGTATAACTTATTCTAAACGTAAACATCTTGTGTTTCTCAGATTGATGGACTTGCATTACAAACTATCAACTACTTTTTTTGCTATCTTCATTATGCATGATCATGTGGTTACTTGTACTTTATCTTCTATCAGGATTATGTTTATTCACACTAAATCCTCTGTGTGCTTCTTGAGTAACAGCTCCATCAGCTGGCCGTTCATGAGTTTTTACCTGCGATGCGCACTTGTGCGACGGCTCCATCTCCTCCCTCGCTGTGCGCACGCACCTCCACCAGGTAATCGCCCTTCTTCATGGGCAGATCGATGGACTGCTTCACTGTGGTGTACAGCACGCCGTTGGGCTGCCCCTCCGGCCTGTACAGGACCTGAGTGAGAACAGCACAACATCAAGAGCTGGCAGAACCCACCAGATTTACACACAAGTCACACATTTCTATAACACCACAAGAGAGGATTCAGTGAAACCGAGATAAAAACTGAAAAATAATGCTAAACCAGGGACAGAAATAACTTTTCCATTAAGGAGTGATATTTACCCCCTTAAACTGATTTCCGGGGGCATTTCTACCTTCATAAGGACAAAATTCTTAATTTTACTCAATAAATGCACTTGGAATATTAAGCCACTTTAGGGCTGATACCAGTCAAATGAAATCGATATCAACAACATCCAGCTTTGCACTGCAGAAGTGGCACAGAAGCTGCATCAGAAGTGGCATTTAGATGGATTTAGACAGACTGTTTAATGCAGCTCAGAGATGCCATGAATGCATTTACACTGCAGTTACAATTGCATGTATACCGTTATCAGATTAATGTTTTAAATTCAAAATATACTGAATATAGAATTATGAAATTATACTTTAACCACCACATATGAAAATATAACCACCACTTAGTGTTGGAAAATCACACAGTATCTTTGATGTGAATCCCTGATTTACTAATTTAACCGATTAATTTAAGCACACATTCTCATTGACTCAATAATCACCCATTCCTTCATCACTCACACACAAAGGTGAATAGAGTAAACTCTTAAACTAATATATATCACCTTACTTCCCCAGCTGATGAATCATAATACATTATTGCATTTTGCATTACAAGCTGTTTAAATATACAAATCAAATGTTGTTTAAATATACAAATTATTCATTATCATTGTATAATACGGTTCAAAAGTCCTTGTTTGATTTTGTTGATATACTACCGTTAAAGGTTTTAACAGATAGGATATTGGATTTCTCGTTATCACTCCATAAATCAGAAAATACTGTCAACAGACAGAAAACATTTTCACCATGTTTTTAGGAATAAAATGTTGTATAAATCGGTGTGAATGAAATATAAACAAATCCCTCAGTAAAAACCTTCAGAATATAGAGAGGAATAAAACTCTAAGTTTTGGTGTATGTAAGTGCTGCTGAAGTAGAGAAACACATTTTAAAAATATGGATTGAGTGATTAAACATATGAATTTAAATCTACAGACGCAAACAGATAAAGTGCAATGAAATAAACACTTAAATGTGCATTTAGATGACTTTGGAACTGAAATTGAAATAGAGAGCTGCAGTTTGCTGGTATTTGGTGAGGGATTTTTCTGATTTCTAGAATACACATGCCACTGGTCTTCATGTGAGAAACATGAGCACTGGTACCGTCCATGTGATGGTGAGCTCACGACTGGTTCCTCCTCCTCCACCGATCTCTGACGGAGCCACAACAGGCCCTACAGAGAAAATAATTACAGTAATTATGCTTGCTAAGGCATTGCTATGCAATTACTAGTTACTATGGTATTCTAGATGATTCCAGTGGTGCTACTGTATGTTGTGGGCGGTTTCCCAGAATGCTGCTGGAGGACTAACACACTGATTCTTAATACTTAGTGTTAGTGGTTTAATCAGATCACTATCAGCAATAGCACTACTGAGGATTGACATACACATAATAATACATTCAAAAACTGCCTGCACATTCTGCATGCCGGCTCCGTTTGGACCTGGTGGAACGTAAGCTTATTAATCTTGACTTCTGGTCATTTTCAACTAAGGAAAAGGAAAAGGACAGGATGTGATGTGTGGCCAAATATGGTGTTCCATACTCAGGATTTGTGCTCTGCATTTCACCCTTCCAAGTGCACACACACAGCAGTGACTGTTATTACCATGTTTTTACTGCATTTAGCCCCCTTTTTACTAATTAAAAATATGAGAAATTCTTTAAAATTTCACATTATACATGAATTATACATGAAAACCACTGCGATGCATTTCAGTATTCATGATAAACTTTATCTGAATATATCATTATATGAAACTTATAAGAACAATCAATCTGAGAATTACCAGTATTAACGCCATTGGAATGAACAGAATTGAATTACATTTTTTTTTTAACTTGTAACTAACTTTATCTGAATATATCATTATATGAAACTTATAAGAACAATCAATCTGAGAATTACCAGTATTAACGCCATTGGAATGAACAGAATTGAATTACATTTTTTTTCTTTTACATTACATAACTGCTCAAAAATAGTCCAGATTTATGAAACCTACATTTTCTAATAAAACAACATCAATATTAGTCTGGAATGCATTAAAACAAAATATATTCCTTTCACTTGCATAAACTTTCACTTTATCATGAAAAGGTTCTCCACACTGCAATGGTTCATCAATAGGTGGCAGCAGAATGAAATGCAGGCTTCTTCTTTTCAAACCTCTGTCCTTTATCAAATACAGACTATTTGGTCTTTGAACTTTTGTTGTGCACCCCGCTGGGCTGTATTTCATTTGATATAGTTCATTTGTTATGCAAGTTACATCTAGTGTGTTGTTTATTAGCAGAATTCAGTCCTAAATGTGTGTGAGATGTAATAATGAGGCTAAATATATTTTACAAAAGTATTTTTTTAATCATAAAAAATAAATGATATGTATTTTGATAGTCTTTACTCATTTCTAAAGTTTGTTTCCTGAATGAAACCCTTGAAATTGTTATGCATTGCTTCCAGGTCAAAACGGGCTGAATGCAGTAGCTGGGTTAAACAAACACATGAATGGCAATAAACCGCAGGTGATTGTTTCCTCAGATGAGGACAGAAGGAGCTCACTGGCTTCTCTGGTGGTGATGTTGGGCGAGGGGTCACTCGGGGGTCCGGTGCCCAGCGTGTTGGTGGCGATGACCCTGAACTCATACTCTGTCCAGGGCGTCAGATTGATCACGGAGGCCATTTCTGCATTTCCCTCCACATTCACTGGAGCTGAAGACACAGAATCACTGGATAAATACACAGACTCACTGGGACTGGTTTAGATCTAAACTAGTGCTTTAGTCAAGTCACACTTTATTAACAGATGATTATCAAATTAAATAATCCCCTCAGATATGCAGAAAAGTATATTACTATATTACAGTTTTTTTTTTTCAACTGCTTACACATTTTCTAAACTTTGCCTCTTTTTTCCAAACTTTACACACACATCCAAGAACCGCACACACAATGCAAAATGCCTCGCATCTCTTGCAAAATGAAGCACTGCATTCAAAATATCACAAACACATCTCAAAAGCAAACATTTGTCTTACGTTGCAAACACCTTTGCCATAACATTGTACTTTGGATATATCATATGCACACAGTTATTCAAAACCCAAATCTCTTCTTTAATGAGCTCCTGTGTTCATTTCTGTTCAAGATTGAAAGTAACTGGCAGAGAGATGTTGAACAATTCACGGAAAACACGAAAGCAAGATTGAAACCAAACTTTTTTACTGTAAGCATTTGTGGTTGTGAATACAGTATTACACAGTGCCAAAGAAAAGAAACACATCAAGCATGTGTAGTTGTGTAGATGTGTATATATAGGCCTGTTCTAAAGCATGATGGGTTGGTGTTCAGTAAAGCACATGTGAGGAGTTAGTGTGTTACAGTATTAGTATTGGTTGTGTTTGTGTTAGATTTTTGTGTGTTGTGTTTTGCAAAAAGTGTTTTATGAAATTGAAAACTGAGTCAAAGGCTGAGATTAGTGTATGGTTTTGCAGATTTGGTGTGTGCTTCTGCTGTTTGAGTGTCAGATTTCAGAAACGGTGTGACAAGTGAAGATTTTGTGTGTAAGCAGTTGAAGAAAACTGTAATTATTCACACACACACACACACACTCATGTATCATCACTGTAGTGAAGTGTGGTGATGTACTCACAGGTGGAGGCGTCTCTCCAGTCCTGCTGCACTCGCACGTCTCTGTACTGGACTTACAAATGAGGACAACAGAAGCAATCAAAACCAACAAAAGAGCGATAATATGCAAGTGCTATATGATAAGTCTGTTATTATGGATATCAATATATTCATTATTATAGTTATAAACATTATAGTTAAGATTGTTATAATTATTAGTATAGTTATTGTGACAGTTATCATTATAGTTACCAATATCGTTATACTTATCATTATAATCATAATTACTGTTATACAGTAGTTTCATCATACTAATTCTCATAGATAAAAGTAGCATTACAGTTTTCATAAGTAGCATTATGGTTACCTTTATAGTTATCATTATAATTTATAATTATTATAGTTATCGTTATAGTTGTCATTAAAGTTATTGTGTTTGGTGTTAAGGCATCCACAATGGTACTATTAATGAAGAGTCTTGATTCATTAAAACTAAATAAATAATTATCAGATGTTTGTCATCAGTATTAAACAGCTGAAGACTGAAATGACCATTTTGCGCTCGTAATGCTCTCTGTCTTGGTCGAAGTCGATGGCGTGAGCGTCGAGGGACCAGATGAAGGTGAGGTCGAGGGTGGGGTCATGTGATGCAGCGCACTCCATCCTGGTGCTCTCGCCCACACTGATGTCAGCGTTAGACGGAGCCAGAGTGATCTTCGTGGCGTCTGAGGAGAGAGACACTCGTTATGCTCTGAATGCAGGAGAACGCCTCTCACTTCTGCTGAGGACCGTCAGTCGCATGCTCAGACGCTTATCCATCACATCACACGCAACCAACAAACACAAACTCAACTAGATTACAAACTGTGGTGTTCATGTGAGAAAAGCCCAGCAAGAAAGTCTGAAGTAGGTTTTAAAGATTAAAGTTAGACGGTTTTAATGCCATTCAGTCTGTCAGACAAACATGTGTTCTGGATGGTTGCTATGGAGGTTGCTAGGGTGTTGCTATGCAGTTTCTGAAGTATTCTGGGTGGTTACTCGGCTAAAGTGTTCTGAGAGACTGCTGGGGTGTTGTTTTGCAGATGGTAGCCTGTTCTGGATGGAGTATTCAGTGTGGTTACTAGATAGTTTCTATGTTCTGAGTGGTTGGTGGGGTGTTGCTTTGCAGTTACTAGTATGTTTTGGGTGGGTATTGTAGTATATTTTGGGTGGTTGCTAGGGTGTTGCTATGGTGTTGTGGATGGTTGTTAGGGTGTTACTTTGCAGTTTCCAAGGTTTTCTGGGTGGTTGCTAGGCTAGTAGGTAGATATGAGGTTACTATGGTGTTCTGGGTGATTGCTAGGATGTTGCTATGCAGTAGTTAGGGTGTTCTGGATGGTTGTTAGGGTGTAACTTTGCAGCTTCATATGTATTCTGGGTGGTTGTTAAGACTAGGATGTTGCTATGCAGGTGTTAAGGTGTTCTGGATGGTCATTAGGGTGTAACTTTGCTAGGGTATTCTGGGTGGTTGCTAGGGTGTTGCTATGCAGTTATTATGGTGTTCTGGATGGTTGTTAGCAAGTAACTTTGCAGCTTCATGGGTATTCTGGGTGGTTGTTAGACTGGGATGTTGTTATGCAGGTGTTAGGGTGTTCTGGATGGTCATTAGGGTGTGACTTTGCAGCTTCAAGGGTATTCTGGGTGGTAGCTAGGGTGTTGCTATGCAGTTACTAGGGTGTTCTGGATGGTTGTTAGAGCATTGCTATGGTGTTGTAGGGTATTGTACAATAGTATGGGTGGTTTCTAGGGTGTTGCTTTGCAGTTGCTAGAGTGTTCTGTGTGGTCATTAGGGTGTTATTTTACAGTTTCTAAGGTACTCTGGGTGGTTGCTAGGCTGGGAAGTAGCTATGCGGCTACTAAGATGTTCTGAGTGGTTGTTAGGGCATTGCTAGAGTGTTGTAAGGTATTGTAAAGTTTTTTTGATGGTTTGTAGGGTGTTGCTATGCAGTTGCTAGGCTGTTCTGTGTGGTCATTAGGATGTTATTTTACAGTTTCTAAGGTACTCTGGGTGGTTGCTAGGCTGGGAGGTAGTTATGCAGCTACTAAGATGTTCTGAGTGGTTGTTAGGGCATTGCAAGTGTGTTGTAAGGTATTGTAAAGTATTCTTCATGGTTTCTAGGGTGTTGCTATGCAGTAGCTCAGGTCTTCTGGGTGGTTGGTAGGGTGTTACTTTGCAGTTTCTAGGGTATTCTGGATGGTTGTTAGGCTAGGGTGTTGTTATGCAGTCTGGTTTCCGTGTCGTACCGGTGACTGACAGCGATCCGGTGCTGTTCCCTCGGCCTCTGTCATTCTCTGCGAAACACGTGTATTTGCCTTCGTCTGATAGACTGTGGCGTTCCTGTAGCTCAAAGAGTACAGCATGATGCTATCAACACCAAAGGAATGGGTTTGAATGCATGAACTGTTTAAATGTATAAAACTCTAAATGCAACATCATTCACTCTGAATAATAGCATCTGCCGAATGCAGACTTATTTTTTCAACTGATCTGATTTAAATGCTTGAATTTGTGTGAAAATGAATGATTATAACTCAGACGTCAGTGATACCATTCGTCCGTTCTTCAGGAAGTGCACATGGGGTTTGGGTTTCCCGCTGGCCAGACAGGACATGATGTAATCGCCTCCGATGTCTCTCTCCGAGCTGCTGATCTTCTCCACCCATTCAGGAGCTCCTAGACAGAGACAAACACATGCGTAAACCAGTGTTATTTTAGTGTCATTTAGATACTATTACAGTATTTATTAATATTTTGAACTTTATTTTTTTAGCATGTTTTATGTCTACATAGCTATATATATTTTTTCTCACTGTTAGTTTTAGTTATATTTGTACATCAAATTAAACGTTAAAAGTTTAAGTTTAAGCTTTTTATACTTTTATTTTATTTCAGTTAATGTTTATTTAATTTCAAGTAACCATTTTTAATGATTTTACTTATAGTTAACTATAATAAACCCTGATGTAAACAAGCATTGCTTTACGGAACAATTCTTGCAAATCCTAATACATTAAGCATGTTGGTAACACTTTATTTTGATGGTCCCTTTTGAGCATTCTGTACACAATAAGTAACTTTGCACCTATATGTCAACTAACTCTCATTAAAGTATTAGTAGCCTGTCTGCTTCATATCTGCTAACTCTTTAATGAGATGGTCTCCCAACAGACATTCTACTGACTATAAGTAACTTTGCAAATACATTTCAACTTATTCTAACCCTAACCCTAACAGTCTACTAATACTCTACTAACACTCTAATAAGAGTTAGTAGACATATAGGTGCAACGTTACTTATGGTTAACTGAATGTGTTAAAGTGACCAAAATAAAGTGAAACCAGCATTTTTATTGTTATTTTTTATGTTTTTGTGTGCACTCTATTTTCCAGTATACACCTGTAGAAATATGGCATTGCTCTTCTCAGTGATGTCTCATTGCGGTGTGTTCATAAGGTCATGTGACTCTCACCCTCCACATACAGATGCACTTTGTGTCTGTCTTTGCCTTTGGAGTTGTCGGCCTCACACTCATATAAACTCTCGTCCTCGTACTGGATGTCGTAAAGATGAAGGAGACTTCCTGACATACTGATGTTGTGGCGATAGACCGGCAGATCACCATCCACCTTCCTCCATCGGATCTGAGGGATGGGGCTGAACACACACAATATAACGTTCACCACATTGTGTTCATCAGCTATAGATGATAAAAAAATACATGTAAGAGACAACCAATCAGAAACTGAGTATGCAAATATGACATTGATGTCACTGATGTCCCTAGCTGATTACTTACATTATGACATACTGTATAA